CAAAAAAAGAAAAACTTTGGGAAAGACCCAGGAGGGGGGTTCGATACAACTTTAATAATGCGTAGCAGGAGCTAAATGAGCCATTCTGCGGTACTTTAAGACGTCTTCCCTCCACCCACCCCCCCACTCCACCTCACACACGTACACACCCAGCCCCCCCCCCCCCCCCCCACCCCCCTCTCAGTCTCAGGGCCTGAATTATTAAAAGTGTTGTTTTCCCTTATTGCATTGCAGCAATGTGCCTCGTTGCTAGAAATGAGCTGCTCATTCTTGAGTTTGAATGCTTAAAGCGACCCACCTCCAGAGGCAGAGCCAGGGGAGGGGGCCGGAGAGCACACACACACACACACACACATATGTATATGAATAACCACAGTCACCTATAGTGTCTACACTAAGTTCAAATGATGTTGAATCAAGTATTAACATAAATATATTCTGTCAATCAATTAATTGGGTCATTTATCTGCTTCAATATTGTGTAACTTTAATGGTCATATTTGTTTTTCACATGTACATGGTGATGAAACTTTGACTTCCAGTTCATTTTGAATACATCTGCAATAATTAAAAAATCCTGGCCAATAAAATTGCTTTGCAATTTAGTCCTTACGTTAACATTTTCTTCAAAGCAAATCTGCCTCTCTGAACATTAAGTTGTTTAAAGATGCCTTATTTTGCAAATGTTCAGGTTCACATTTATGTGCGCCTCTCCTGTGACATGTTTACATGCTTCAATGTTTCAAAAGGTCTTTGTTTTTCTCATACTGCCTGCTGCAGCACCTCTTTTCACCCTCTGTCTGAAACCAGGGCCCAGTCTGCTCTGATTGGTTAGCTGGCTGGCTCTGTAGTGATTGGTCAACCACTTAGAGATGTCCCGCCCCTTAGCCTATTGCTTACAATGTGTTGGAGCGCTAGCCAATAGAAGTAAATAGTGTTAGTAAAACAAAGGAGTCCAATAGAGGCAGAGAAATGCCCTCTGGTGTGAACTTTGGGATTTTAGACTTTGCACACCATTTACATGCATGCAAAGAAAAAAACATATATAACACGCTTACAGGAAAGGCAAAACCCAGACAATATAATACGGCCCCTTTTCCTAAAATCAAGTTACATTCTGTATTCTCCTGCAGAAGTCTGCGCCATTCTTTATTGTTTCAAAATGTAAACAACCATATATAGAAAATACTATCCCTATTTTTAACAACACATACTATACACTGACAGCTTGTTTCAATTATATTGATCTAATACTCAAATATAGACATAAATACTTTGTGTGTTGCAGTATAGTATTTATTCATTCCTTTTTCAAAACTTTAAAAGCTTCTAAAGTTTAAGGTTGAATATTGTCATCCAGAATAACGTATGAGCAAAATCAATCGTACAAAATATATAAATAACAGCATCTACCTTGAAATAAGCTCCATGAATGTCTGCACTAAAAAATCTGACTTGCAGCCAAGGAAAAAGAGACAGAATCAAACAAGCTTCACTGATTTCATAAAACAACACCATCTCCTTCCCTTCCTCTACTCTTGCAGCTTCTCTACATGGCGGATTATTTGGGTATTAAATCATTTGATACCTGCAGGTTAAGGCCTTATTCTGAAATTCCCCCCCCAAAAAGTGGAAGATAATGCAAAGTAGACTGCAGGTTGCATTCCCCTGCTTAGAAGCCACACACACCAGCATCACACGCACACTTTAATCACACAATTAATAATTCATCAGAGGTTGGGCTCAATGCTGTCGAGTCTGCAGATGAGCGAACGGCTCCAACTGCTGAGAGGGGGCCCTAAAAACGCAGGATTAACAACCAAAAAAACCAAGATTATCAACAGCTCATCCAGAACCAATAAGCAACATGTCATCACTTTAGGTTAGACGCTATGGATGCAAACATGGAGCCGAATCCATTTTTAATACAGAAAGAAATATACATAACAAAGCGCCCGGTTGTACAGCTCTGCAGACTTTACAAGGGGATGAAGCTGTCTCTTCTATGTGACATTTTCTGCATGCATACATGGAGAGTTTGATGATATGCTCTGTTCGCTGCATGTAAACACCATCAATAATACCATACCAAACGGTTGGTGGAGGAATAGGTCAGGGATGTGTGTGCAAACAGTGATAGCATCCGCTGCATTGATTTCAACTGCTCTGGAATTGATCATAACAAACACCAAATCATCATTTTGTTGCGTTTATTTATTCCCACTGATGTATTCAACATTTTCCAATACTGTTTGATCAAAAGTTTACACCCTCTTTTTTTCTCTGCGCTGCAGCAGCAGCAGCTGTAATTACAACATGCACAATGACCTCATTCTGCTGTGTCAGTAGCGGTAATGTATAGCCCCTTGATCTTAAACTGCAAATAAAAACGGTGTGCACTTATTTTCACAATGTGCTGACTACATTCCCGGCATTTTTTAGACATGGCTGTGACGGCGTATCAGAATTTGATATAAGCACTGCTGCTCCTATTCGTCTGACGAGGTCTCTCTTGCCTTAATATGCATTCAATAATGTGAAATGATATTAGTTGTAGGAGCTCATTGACTGTGCACTCGGGGTCTCGCCGCGTCTCTCCGTCTCCGTCTGTATCGCGCTCTTCATCTGTTCTTCTTCCACACACACAGAAGAAATGGAGAAGAAAAAAAAAAGTGGGAGGCTTGAACCGCGGATAGCAGCAGAGCAATCACACCGAAGCAATGCCCCCCACGCCTGGCCCATTAATAACAGTAATACGCACACCGCGCCCAAGCCAGCACTGCCGAAAGCACCACTGACACTTTAATGGGCATTTTTTACTTTTGTTTTTAAATAATGCATGTGCTGCGTGTCAGCACTGCTTCACTCCACCTCTGGTGTGCCTTTGCAGCGTTCCTTTGTGCAGGAATTACAATGGGGACCTGTGTTTCTGTGCTGCCTCCTCCATAAGCTGCATTCATCACATACAGGGGGACGTCAGCGTGCACTACATCACACTCTTGGGGACGTGTGTGTGTTTGACGGGCATGCATGTGTGTGGCATGTGAGCTAATTAAGAGTGTCTATGTGAGGGTGAACTGTGTGCTGTGGACACGACTTGCTGTACACAGAAAGCTTTGCATTTCACAGCAGTATGCTTGACAGAATGCCAGTGTTATTGTGTTTATGTGCAGCATACTGTATATGTTTTTGTAACCTTTGATTTGACTTGGAAAGCCTCTGAGAGCCAAAGTTAAACTGTAACTTGAGTTCGGATCCAGTCAAAATGAAAATGACAAGAAATCCACTCTTGAAATATGACAACAGTATTCAATGTGGTTACAAGAAGGGTTTAAGATAAGCAAATACATAGTTATACATGCATGTCTGTATTTTTAATTGATGTTTAAGAAGCCTTTAACAAACAAGCCCAGGAGTTTTGCGGTATAAACGCCAGCAGCTCGACACACTGAAGCTGTTTGAGAGCTGCATGTATACAAAAAACAGGGAGAAACAGCTTACTTGTTTTTTTGGATTAGATTACAGCCGATATGTTGGTCAGAAAAGGGAGCATTTGTGCAATAAACACTATTCGTAGCCCTTTTCCACTAACATGAAGGTTATTTTACGGTTCACACCCTGACTTTTGAACAACTTTGAACATTTCAACAAAAATGTAAAAGTGGTTCCTAGGTTTCCGTTGACAGGAAAGCAAACCATGACTTGCACTTCAAAGTATTATATGTGTCCTTATTATGTTCCATCATTGTTTTTTGGATATAAACAGATGTCTGTAGTAAAAAAGCTTGCAGGATATCAATGATGACATCTGGCATCTTGGACTGTACTTCTGTCACACCAGGGACATGTTGTAGGAACAGGTCTAACATGGTCACTGTAACAGGGGACCCAAATGCAAAACACATCCATGTCTAGATATAAGGAAAATGGAAACAAATAAAATACTGGAACAATAGCCTTGTCGATACAACAAAAATGGCGGTTCAACGGTGCTCTGCAATTTAAAAAACGTAATGAGGCTCAATCTTGGGGGCGATAAAGTATTTAATGAGGAGCTTTCCAAATACCAATCAGGTATTCTCAAGGTCTTATCTGTGTTGATGATTGTAATATCCCTTCATCATTGCAGCAACAGTTGCTTATTTTGTTACAGCGGCCCAAGACAAAACCCCAAAATGGGCCTTCGTAAAGCTGGCAAGGTCTTAGACTAATTGTGGCTTATTGATGGAAAACTCTGAAGTGTTGGAGACCAACATCATGATTGTACGGAGCCCCTAGGGGACATGGAGAAGAAAAACAAATTTATTTGAAAAACAAAACAAAATATCGCAAAACCTTTGTGAGATCTCGCAAAACCCCGTTGCAGTTTGTAGACGGTCCCTAAGCACTCCTCTCCCTCCTCAAGCTGCAGATTGTGACCAATTATTGATGTTTACTTCAGGAAGTACATTGAGCTAAATTAAAAAGTTTTGCGAGATCTCGCAAAACATATATATATATTTTTTCTTCTCCATGTCCCCTAGGGGGCTCCGTATGATTGTGATCAAATGTGTCAAATAAGATTTACCATTTTCTTTCTCTAACCCTTTTTCCCCTCATCTATTTGATGCCTTTTATGTTATGATGAAGTGCTTACAAGTCGACACTTTGACATATTTTTCTTTCAGACAGGTTCTAGAGATGTCTTCTTCATATTACACCTCATTTGGTCATTTAGATATTGGAAGCCACAGTGTGTTTTGGATCAGCAGTGCTCGGTTGTGTAACTGTATTGATTGTATATGAGCTACACATATGTATCTGACATTACATGAAAGGTCAATAAACCTCAGATATCAATATTTATAACAATCAATGATGCCTTCTCTATTATTTATCTTCCGGTGCAATGATTTTCCTTGATTGAATTTGCCTTTTTTTTTTGTCTCAGAGTGCATACAATTGCCCCTCTGGCCGCTTCCTGTCCGTTTCAATGCTTGTGTTTTCTCTGTGTCCCGCAGGAAACACGTTGTGTAAGTCAGGAAACATTGCTGTCTTCGGGAACGTGGTGTACAGCGGACTGCTGAACGATCACCTCTGGCATTTGGGAGTGCCCCTCTTTACAAGACTGGTAAGAGCAGCAGGCACACTTACCTCAATGTTGTCAGAAGACTTTCATGCAGTGCTGCTGAACCCCAAACAGGCTTCAGGTGCAGAATTCCCCAGCCTCTCTAATAGGCTGCTTTTGATGCCCGCTTTGTTGCCATGTGTTGGTTGGAGTTATACAGGATGTGACAGTCCTCGGCTATGGATGTGAGACTACAGAACCCAGACACATTTTAGCGTCTTATTTCATATCTCTTTCCGGCTTCAGGTAGGAAAGTCCCATGTGAGGAGAAACAAAAGATGCGTGATCTCCGGCCATAAAAACAAAGGTGAAGTTAGGTGTTTGGATTTGTTTCTTCCCAGTTTAATCTGGTACACTAAGAAAAGGCCGGCTAAATTACTAAAGAGAACAAACAATGCTCATTTTCTGGTTTCATATTTGTATGCTGTGCCTCTACTGTGACATGTTTACATGTTTCATGTTTGAAAAGGCCTTTATTCGTGCTGCGTGTTCTGCAGCACCTCTTCTCACCCTGGATGTAAAAAGAGAACTTGATACAGCCTTGGATGCAAGGCCCTGTTCAACACTATTAGAGTTGCTCAGTGGCGAATGAAGTCCAACATGGAGCGACTGTAGATTCAAAAAGTATCCGTATCTGGGCCAATATAGAGCATGCTCTCTTGAGTTTCCTTAAGCCCCGCTCTGATCTCCTGCTCTCGTCAGAATCAGAATATCTTTATTTGTCTCAGTCATATGAGGGAAAATAACCCTTGAATTGGCTTTAAGCGCATTTTACAACCGTAAGACCCTTATGATTTAAATAAAGTGTTCGTACTGGTAGTTGAGTTAGCTAAACAAATTTGATTTACAGATGTGTCTTTGTAGTTCTACCATTTGGCCACAAAGCAAATTTGCTTTGACGGCTTGCTTTCTTCCTTGGGGCTTGCTTTTCACCTGCTGTGTTCAAATAGAACCCGCTCTGCTCTGATTGGTTATCTGGCTGGCTATGTTATGATTGGTCAACTGCTTAGAAACGTGTTGGAAATGTCCCTCCCCTTAGCATTTAATGTACAAAGAGTTGGAGCACTATCCAATAGAAGCACGAGTGTTACATAGTGATGTAAACAAAGGAGTCCAATAGCCGCTTTCACACCAAGTACTTTGCCCTACTTAGTGCCCAACACTTAGTGCCAGCACTTAGTACCCCCATGGTACAGATCGCGTTCACACCGGAATAAGTTCCCTGAGGGAAGATTAGGCAAATGAAGCCGCTGACGTCAACTTCTTCGGAGGAGGAGGAGGAGGGAGGAGAGGAGGAGGAGGAGAGGAGGAGGGGAGGAGGAGGGGAGCAGGAGGAGGGTCGGAGGAGGAGGAGGAGGAGAGGAGGATGATGAGGAGAGGAGGAGGACGGAGGAGGAGGAGGATGAGGAGGAGGGGAGGAGGAGGAGGAGGTAGGAGGAGGAGGAGGAGGAGGAGGAGGGCGGAGGAGGAGGAGGCGGAGAGGAGGAGGAGGAGGAGGAGGAGGAGGAGGGGAGGAGGCGGAGGCGGCGGAGGAGGAGGAGGATGCGGCGGATGAGGAGGAGGATGCTTCTTATTCGTCGTGGACTGTCTTATTATTATTAATTCTCTATTCTTCTTATGCTTCTTCTTTCTTCTTCTTCTTCTCTTCTTCTTCTTCTTCTTCTTCTTCTTCTTCTTCTTCTTCTTCTTCTTCTTCTTCTTCTTCTTCTTCTTCTTCTTCTTCTTCAGAATACGGCCTCTTTAATTAAATGTAGCTTCATGGCAACAACTTAAAACAAATAAAAATGTTGTACTTGGCAGCAGTGGAAGCCCGTCTTAAGGATTAATGATAAACGTCTATCACTAATTGTCGAAGGGAAATGGAATGTTTGCTCTACACTCACTGGTGCTGCGATGCGAGAGAAGAGATTATTGTGCGAGTCATAAAACCACGAGGATCACAGAGCACATTTTCCTAAAGAAAAAATAAATTCATCACAGCACTTTTTCTTCCCGTTAATTACCCTCCTTCTAAGCGGGTCGCAAGTTTTCATCAATGTTTATTATTGATTAAATATGTCACTGGAGCTGTCATTTATGAGTCGGGAATTACTGTTGATTGGTGCACAAGGGTTGCATATAATTGGGTTACATTAAATAGATAATTCAGCTGATCTCATAAATGTCTAATGTGAAGGCTTGTTTGATTATCAATTAATGTCAAATGGAGATGCAAGAGGCTGTTAAGATGCCTGTGCTGCGACTGAATCTCTCCCTACTATCTGTACTAGGTATATGTGTGTATCTTTATATATATGCACTAATGAATTCAAAGAAATACTCAAGCATGCATTCACTGACATGTGTCGTAGCCAGTAAACAAGTCTTTGAAGGATGCAACAAATGAGAAACATGACAGCTGACAGAGATCTGGCTTTCAATTAAACAGAAAGTGTTGCTGTTTTTCTGTTCTTATCAGTCATATCGAGTGTGGAGGAAGACAAATATAATTAAACTGATATTTTCATCGTTGAAAGGGGTCTCCATGGTCTTAGGAATTGGTACGATGTAAATCATATATTTTTGTATTCTTAAAGAGGCAGTACGCACTATTTCAAATCAGTGTTAGTTTACTGTTGTATAATGTGTTGTGTGGCATATACAAGGCAGGAAAGATCTCTCAAAAGGCTTTACTGTATTGCATCATGGGATATGTAGGATGAATTGGGGACTAAAGGTCAATCTCTGGCTCTCCTGCTGTGATCTTCTCGTGTCACGTTTTACACAAATGGTGCCAAAATTCAAGTTACAACATTGTCAAACATTTTCCTTCTTTTTTCCTTATGACATTCACCACAAGTCCATGTCATTGAATGTTTATAATATGATTTCCAAATACTTACCACCTCAGGTCTCACCGTATGCCCTTTTTTTCTGAATGAAAAGTTATTCATATATGTTTTATATCAAATACAAATGTTGACAATTGGGGAGGACAACAAATATATGCAAGGGCAAAAGTAATTATAGAATGTAGTGAAATGAAAAAAGAAACATAAAACAACCATGGTATTATCCATAAAATGAAGCCATGACAGAGAATAAAAGACACCTACAGGTATAACACACATTTGTATGCTTGCGCTAATAGTTGCCCTGCCCCATCCACTACAAAGGGTTAATATGAATGTGTGAGCAGACCACACACCTGCCTCCTGTGGTGCTAAAGACTGCTGTCCCCATGTTAACATCCTGGGTGTCCCGTCTAGGACCGCTGAGTACCCGCAGAGCTCACAGGCAGGAGCAGCGCCTGTCGTTGTGAAAGGTGTGACTTCCTGCTGGGACTCGGGGTGTGGCCTTGTGTAGCACACCAGGTCCGCCCCGCAGTGGTATCAGCACGACACACAGCCAGCTTCACACCCCCAACACTGCGCCCCTAATTACTGCACAGCCCTGGGCCAGTGCTGCCTGCTCCATGCCAAGGTGTAAACACTGCATTATTAACACTACATACAGTCTGCACGCATTGCTATGTTTAATATACTCCACGTATGTCTACACAGAGGCGTTACTTTAGTGGGATTCTTTACGTGGAGCCATACAATAGATTTATTGTTTTCCAGACAGTGAGCTCCAAAATCACCAGATGGACGATTTGCTGCGTATAGTGTAATGTATGCTTACAAATGATGTTTAATGATGTCTTCCAGGGCTACGAAACAAACCATTACTGTGTTCAAGGCTAAATATGCAGGCTCTCCATGTCAGAATGCCTAAGTTAAAGAGATATGTGAAAGCATGGTGTCTTCTTGTTGTTTTCTCTTTTTTTATTGGCTGTCGGGATGTCTTGATGACGCAACGCAATTTATCGGTTGTCGTTGTAGCCCACACATGAGCTAAATTCAAATGTAATTAAAAAAAGTGCAGTTTAGGTCTTAAGGGAAGACATTATGCAGATTGTTAGGTTCCTTCCAATATTCTATATTTCTACAAGATACTGTATTCCTGATACATGTTCCATGTCGCTTATAAAGCCGTCTGGAAAAACAAATAATTGGCAAAGGCCATTGGTGTAGATATCTCACAGTTTGTGCCTATTCACCTCAAATGTACACCTGCTTATCCTGTGCAAGATTGTCTTTTAGGCCGGAGAAGTGCAGGCCACACTAGCATAATGTGTTGATATTAAAGGGGCCCTATCATGCTAATTTCCAGGTTTCATATTTGTATCTACTGTGACATGTGTACATGCTTTAATGTTGAAAAAGCTCATTAATTGTATCATACTGCCTGCCTTTTTTTCACCCTGTGTTTGAAACCAGAGCACAGTCTACTCTGATTGGTTAGCTGGCCTGCTCTGTTGTGATGTATCCTCTGCTTTGAGATGTCCCTCCCCTTAACCTATCACATACAATGTGTTGGAGTGCTAGCCAATAGAAGTGCGGGTGTTACATAGTGATGTTACTGAAGTAAACAAAATAGTCCAATGTAGGCGCTTCAGGCAGGGGGGGGTGGGAGAGAAACTCCCTCTGCAGGGAACACAGGGATTTGAGCCTTTGCAGACCATTGAAATGCACAATGCCTATATAACACACTAAAGGCAATTAAAAAAAACGTAACGCATAAGAGGATATTTTTAAGTCAAAGTAAAGCAATTTCTGCTAGGCTGTTTTTATGAAATATAAAAACAAATATATAACGTGTGTGGCAGCAGGAAAGTTTCAATTCCACTGAGAGCAGGCCAAATTCCACAGGAGGCAGGAACAGTCTCATACTGTGGAGCACTGAGTGTCCTCCCTGTGCCGGAACATGGACCCCTGTGAGCTGGAGTTGATATCACCAGCAGACGAGGCGACTTTACACATGTGCAGTCATCTCAGCAGCAGCAAGCAAATCAGGGGTTGTCGAGCTATGGTTAGCCCCAAAGGGAAAACATGTCAGTCACCAGCCACCCTGCTTAATGTAAGCTCCACTTTGTCACAGTGTTGAATGAATTTGTACCACTGTTTAAGGTAGCAATGCTT